GTTTGGGATGTTACCGTCTTCGGTATCCCCGCCCATCCCAAACATTGGGAAAAGGAGCGCTGCGGCCTGCAGGAGTTACGACTCTGCTTCGGTGTTTTCTCCGTGCCGTCCTCCTCCAGGAATCTTTGTCATCTCATCATTTCCAGGTTAAAAAAAGCTTTTAAAAATATAGGCCCGTCCAGCGCCATCGTGGCGTCCTGCCACCATTTCTCCCTGCACAGGTGCTCACGCCTGCAGAATAAATCAACTAATCATTAATAACGGGTCTATCATAGCTCGTGGCTGTCATGTGTTTTACTCTTGCTGTAGACACAACAGCTACGCTGTGACATCACCATGGATTCAGGCGGCTGTCGGTCAGTCCAACAGCTGATCGTGACGCTACCAGCTGATTCCATCTGAATGGTGTTTCTGAGCTGCAGCGTCAAAGAAGAAGGACTCCCATCTTCTAATCTCCCATCAGCATCTATGTGATCCGTCCTTGTGACCGTGACACGTGCCGATTCGCTCTGACCGACATGTCATCAGGAACACGATGAGCCGACAAGGAGCGTGGAGTCCACTCGAGGCCGGAGGCAGAGTTTAAAGAGCCCGTCCTTCAGCTGGAGGAGCCTCGCTCTCAGAGAGCCTTCCACCCTGCTGCTGAAGGGCTCTCGAGCAAGGCGGCGAACTCTTATCAGCTCGAGGGCTGCGGCTCTGAATCAACGATCCAGCCGTGACCTCCGACCTCTGAAGGAAAGTCTCGTCTTGTCTTTGAAAGTAGAGAAACTAGAACCCTGGAAGAAGAAGAGTGGAAACGCAGAGAGAGGCGGTCTCTGTGTGAGCAGCAGGGTGTGGCTTTATGTCTTCGTCACAGAGACACGCCCACACTGAGCATGTGAGCGTGATCACAGGTGGGGACATGCCCGTTTGGCGAGTCCCAGCGTGTTGCAGATTTAAACGTATTCAACGTTTTTTCTGTATCTGTGCGAGACGTTAGACGAAAACACCGACAGAGTACAGGTGCACAAATATTAAACACGATGCACACACATCGCAGCGAAGCAGCAGGATGTGCTCGGACCCACTCTGTCCTGAAAATGATATTCAGATTTATTTACATAGTCTCAAATCACAACGCAGCCGCCTCGAGGTGCTGCAAGCTAACGGCCGAACAGTAACCCAGAGAAAGGCGAGCGCCTGTGAGCGAGCGCGTGGCAACAGTGGGAAGGAACTCTGACCAGGAAGAAGAAGAAGCATGTCGTCAAGGGACAGAATATTTTGGACTGTCCTTCTGCTGTGAGGACAGCAGTGATGTCACCGCCGCTAATAAGATGTTAACCACACGTGTTTGAACGCAGTTTCCATGCAGCCATGTGATTGGTTAGAGCTGTGCAGGTGCATGTTTCACCTGTGCGCTCGGATGCTTTCAAGCTATTATAAAACATCAGTGAAATATTTGCACAGCAACATCAAACTGTGTGCGTGACGAGGATCAGCACGGTCAAAGCATAGCGCAGGAACGCCTCCATGATTTAAAACCAGCCAATCACAGCCCTGCTATCAGCTAACTGTTGTGCGGCTGTGTTAGATAAGATGAAAATTTACTGCCTCGCCACTCCTTCAAACCCACGCCCTCGCATCGTGTTCGTCAGCAGAGGGTCGACGGCCATCATGTGACAAGTTGAGCTGTTTAAGATTTCTCTGCACTCATAAACGACCACAGAGCAGGACGCCGAGCTCAGCGAGCTGTGAAACACCTGCAGGCTCAAATACAACCCGATCATAAACACCAGCACCTCTGTGGGGGGGGGGGGGGGGGGGGCTTAGCCCCTGTGGACTCGCCCCTGCTGTAAGGTAAAGGTTATACCACGTGACACGCCAGGAGACCGTCCCACAACCTCAAACCTGCCCGTCATCATGGAAGCCAGCAGACTGAAGCCCGGTCAGTGCTCACTGTCATCGATCGATCGATCAGATAATTCATTTATTTCAACGTTTTGTAGCAAAGCAGGTGAACATGAGAGTCCGAGCTCACGAGGATTCTGAGGCTTTCATTCACGCGTGATCGACACATCGACGCTCCGCTGACACGCGTCACTCACCGTTAGTCACCGTGTGCGGGTGCTCGGTCATTCCGCTCAACCCGCACGCACGCACAGACGTAAACACACGCGCACGGGAGCGTGTGCGCGGTCACCGGCTGCACGTGCGTGGCACCGGGAATATCACCGACCCCCCCTCCCCTCCTGCCGCAGGACGCTCCGCGCAGTCCCGGGGAGCATCCCGGGTTCAGACCGCTAACCGGGACCGGAGTAATCCGCGGCTCGTAAACAAACACCTGCAGCCCGCTCACCTTCTCTCCTGCGCCCCGGGAACGTCCTCCTCCGCCGGCTCTCGGGCTTCTGTCTCCGGTTCTTCCTCCGCCTGCAGCACTGTCACATGCACTACTGCACCGGGAGGAGTGAGAGCGCACAGCGGGATCCTCAAGACTCACCGAGGCAAGCGGAGTGGGCGGGGCCACGCGCGGTTACGTCACAGCAGAGAGCGAGGGAGAGAGACCAAATCCGTCCTAACAATGGAGATCCGTCCGCTCCTCTCTCCGTCCACCCTTTGTTTTTCTCCCCGCCGACGATCCAGAACCGGCACCGGGACTCTGAGCAGGAGGCCGGAGGTCAGGAGGAGGTCTGCGGACTCCTCCACAGCCTCAGACCGTTCAGGGCAAAACGTAATCTCTAACATGAGGACACATCTGTGTCAGGCTGAGGAAAGACTAAAATATTCACGTTAATGTCCGTGAAATAAAGAAATGCTGCGTGGAGCAGAAGACACGCAGTTTCTGTGGTCCAGTACGGAGGCCCAACAGTGACAAACTAAACTCACTGACACGCAGACGCGAATTAAGGTGACTACACGGAGGCGAACCTCCGTGTGTGTGTGTGTGTGTGTGTGTGTGTGTGTGTGTGTGTGTGTGTGTGTGTGCGTGCGTGCGTGCGTGTATATATATATATATATATATATATATATATATATATATATATATATATATATATATATATATATATATATATATTTATATATATATATATATATTTTTAATATTTTTATTTTTTAATTATTGCTTTATGCAGGTTTGGTCACCCACGGCTCCTCTGCTGCCAGAATCGTCTCCTCTACTTCGCAATAACCAAAAATGAGCAGCAGGAAGAAACAGGTTTTTAAAATTTAAACAATAATAATAAATAATTAAAAACACTGTTAACTGGATACAAGCCATTTATGGAGCTTAAAGGTTCTTCAGAACAGCCAAAAACATGACAACAGACATGAAATCAGCGTGTTCAGTGGACACAGTGGAACATGTTCAAGTTACTCTCCAGCTGCTCGGAGGCAGTTTTAATAATAATCTTCATATTTCTGAACAAACACAAAGCAGGAAGCTTCATCTCTGTGGCACACTGACCTTTACTCTGAAACACACACACACCAACACTGTGCACACTCACAAATCAGCTGTGACAGCCACTGTGAGACAATCCTGCCACCTACAGGCAGAGGCTGGAACTGCAGCGTGATCCACACTGACAGGACACTGAGGCTTCAGCTCTACATGTATTCACTTTGTTTAATTTTTTTAATATAAATATATAGATGTAATATTAGTAGGAGCGCTCCTGCTGCCCTCAGTCTTATTTTTTAAATCACAGGCTGCTCCTTTGGTCGGTCAGGAGGAAAACAAAGGACAGACTGAACTCAGTGAAAAATGAACATTTATAAAATAATTCTGACATTTTTAAATCTTAGGGCGTTAAAAAAGGAAAACAATGCAAAGATAAATGTTAGCATACATAAATGTAATGAACACAACTTTGATGTTTCTATTAATTACATTAATTTAGGTCAAACTGAATCTTACACACTTTATTTTATTATTTGGGGGGGGGGCAGCTTCAGCCCTCCGTACATTTATTGCCAGGTTCACTGTCGGAGTGTCGGAGCTGCTTCGCAGAGCCTGGAAACGGTTTGTGAGGAAAGCGTTGCTGCTCTTATATAAATATATAAATAAATATAAGGATATATATGATTGCGCTGTGCACTTACAGAGCGCCGGGGGGACTTTTTCTTGCATGTTTCCATGGCGATCGTACTTTAGTGGACAGTATACACCAGAGAGCGGGGCAGATGGTGAGAGGATAAGGCGCGATGGAGGTCAGGGGAGCCGCGAGGAAGAGGCTGAGCAGCACTTCACACATGACCTTTGGATCAGCGTGAAACCAGCAACAGCGAGAAGCTCGCTCTGAAAGCAGCTGGGCGGTGAGACAGGAAACACGCCGTGGATGAACACTCAGACTCTCGCTGAGTTATTTAGGTTGTTCAGCTTTTTGTTTAAGCCTCCTGGAAAGAATTTATCCTGTTTTTCATTTTTGCTGTTATTCACAGTTTAATGTCATAGTTTCATATTTATGTGTTTTCTCTCTGGCTGAGTCTATTCTGTGTTTGTACATGTTGGTGAATATTAATACCTCAGCTCTGCAGGTTTTGCTGTTTCATAACGGAGAACTTCTCAAACGAACGACGTTAATCACTCGCCACGTTATAGACTGTACATAAAAGACGGATGTAGCCACTGGTTTGACGGTATTTTTGTGACTATATTGGTAACGACAGGGTGGAGCGCTGGTACCATATAATTACACAGATACCTGCTCATTAGTGCTCAACAACGTCCAATCAAAATCCTAGACTCTCACTGTGCACCAAACTTGGAGCTCCGCCTTCTTGTTTGCTCTGTTAGCACGGTAACCTCACAGCAGCCGTGTTATGGGTCACATGATGTCATTAAAAAGGCTCCAACAGCACAAACATGGTGCAGACGTCCAGGTTAGCCTAGCAGCTACAGCCACCTGTCAGTCACAGAGGCCACGCCCCTAATACCTTAACCAGATGAGTTCCTGTACAGATGTTGAGGTGAAACTACAAACAGAGACAAACTGCATGACGGGGTGTGAAATATCAAATACATCCATTTATGATTAAACATCATTTTTTCTATGAAATAAGCTGAAAAATGACCGACTGAACAAACTGTTGCGACGGCAGACGGCGAGCGCCTGAGCCTGGTCAGCACACAGCGGCGGTGTTCATCATTAGACCCGCCCTTACAAACGTGCACACAGCATCTCAGACTCTACGCTCGATCACTGTAATAACACCGTTACTAAGAACAACAATGAAACAATGGCTTCAGTCCTCGTCCTCTCCAGGCCGGATGACACGAACGGCCTGATGTTGCTTCGTTACACCTGTCATAGGGGGGCGGGGCCTCAGGGATGGCGCAGCGGCTGATATCTCACCTGCGTTACACATTTATGCGACACGACTGGATAAAATCATTTCTGGTCAGTTTCTAACCAGCAGCTCTCGATTTTTCCTTCTGTGCTTTACAATTATGAAAGACCAACCCCCAACCTCCCCTCCACCCACACACAGACACACACGCACACGCACACACACACACATGCACACACGCACACAGACACACACGCACACACACACACACACACACATGCACACAGACACACACGCACACACACACATGCACACACGCACACAGACACACACGCACACACATGCACATGCACACAGACACACACGCACACAGACACACACGCACACGCACACACATGCACACAGACACACACGCACACACACACATGCACACACGCACACAGACACACACGCACACACATGCACATGCACACACGCACACAGACACACACGCACACACACACATGCACATGCACACACGCACACAGACACATGCACACACACACACAGACACACACGCACACACACACGCATGCACACACGCACGCACACATACACACGCACACACGCACACACACGCATGCACACACGCACACACACACACACACGCATGCACACACGCACACACACACGCACACACGCACACACACACGCACACACGCACACACACACGCACACACAGACGCACACGCACACGCACACACGCACACACACACGCACACACGCACGCACACACACACGCACACACATACGCACACACACACACACATGCACACACACACACGCACACACACACACACACCCCTCCTCCCAAAACTAATGAAATGTCTTTCCTCCTGAGGCAGCTGAAATAATGGGTGAAGACGGGGAAAGGGGGAGACCATAAATGATAATGAAGTACCTCATTCTCCTTTTTAATTCTTTCCTCCCCCTCCAACCTCCTCCTCTCCACCCCTCCTCCATCCTACCATCTACAAATTTTCTCATTTTTATTTCCACCTCCAGAGCCACCGCCCTGCCATCCCTCCATCCTCCTCCTCACCCATTTCTACATTGTGTGCAGTCACCCCCCGCACCTCCCCCCCTCCCGCCAGGAAGCATCCTGGGTAATTTCCTCCTCTTATTGAATTGGGATGGGGGGGTGGATGGAGGAAAGATAAAGGGCTGGGCAGATGAACGGAGGCTTGGGATGAGTGCTAATGGAGCTGCTGGAGGATTCACACATCTCAAATATGCAGTCCATCCTCCTCCTCCTCCTCCTCCGTCTTCTTCTTTCGTCTCTGGGGTAAAACTACAAATGCCCCCCTTCCCTCCTCACCCATCTTCCCTCACCCTCTCTCACTCACACTCATAAGAACGAGCCCAACAAAAGACTGCGACCTTCTTCTTCTATTTTTATATAAGAATGCTATTCAGCTGTTCACACACACACACACACACAAACGCACACACACACAGTGTGAACCTGATGCTCCCTCCTGTCCTATGTTATTTCTATAGGTGAGTGACTCATTGCTCCTCTATTCCTGTCTGTACTTCTGTTCCTCTGGGCCCAACACTATAATCACAGTCTCATCCTGCCACACACACACACACACACACACACACACACACACACACACACACACTGTCTGTTAAAACTTAACTCTTTCTGCGTCGCTGTCGCTCTGAGGTTGTGTGGATGTTTGCGCTCAGCAGCATTATAACACCTTTAACAGCTGATATTATTTTATTGGCATATAAGTGAAAATAACAGGAAGTGGATTTGAATGTGTGCAGAGGTTAGTGCAGCTTTACACCAGCAGGGGGCGACACCTGATCTCTCGGTAAACCTGATGCGTTGCTGGCTTCACGTCTACACTGACACAAAGAGAAACGTGCGTGCAGCTCTGCGTGCAGGAAGCGCACCGCCTTTGAGCACCGGTCAGCTGATGTCGTCACAGAGACTTCAGCGATAAGTTGGCGCTACCACGGAGACAGTCTGGCAATCACCTGCAATCTGTTGTTCACATTAACTCCTCCCAATCATGGGTTTAAAACTGACCGGAGACGCGAAGCTGCAGGACGGCGAGTTACCTGCAGAATGACACGGGAACACGAGCAGCTGGGAACCAGGCGCTACGAGCCGCATCGAGACTGGCTGTGACGTCACAGGTCGCTCTGAGGCTGACGGTGTTGCGCCTCCAGCTTTCT